TGTAGAAGGGGAGAGGGCTGGATGCTTGCCTTTGTCCCTTGAGTCCAGTTGAGTCCAGTTCCATCTTTACCTGCTCTGGGCTCAGAGGCTGCATTGTGCTTTGACTTCTGGGTGGGTTCAGCTCTGGGAGGACTTGGCGGGAGGTGTGGGTGGGAGGAGTGAGAGATTGGCCGTTTATACCCTGCCCCTCACTCAGGTGGGCTGTACCCACTCCTGGAGCCTTCATCACCTCCCTCCCAGGGCCCTCTTCTCAATTCCCGTGATGGTCCCTGCTCTGCCTTGCCCAGCCTTGGGGTTGCCCCACCTCCTCGTGTTGCCAGCTCCAGGGCCCTGCCCCACCCTTGGCTGGCCCCCTTTACACCCTATGCTCAGCTTTGTAAGCTGACCACTTTGGAAACCCTCCTCAGTTACCTGTTTGGCTATCCTGTCTCCCTGGGACTCTGATGGTGGCTCAGATGGTAAAGAATCTGCCTGCAATGCGGGAGACCCTGGTTCAATCCCTGGGTCAGGAAGATCCTCCTGGAGAAGGGAATGGCCACCCACTCCAGTATTCTTGCCTAGAGAATTCCATGGATGGAGGAACCTGGCTGGCTATACAGTCCATGGGGTCGCAAAGAGTCAGACATGACTGAGCAACTTAACACTCTGGGACTCTGACAGGCAGCTTGGAGGGTCCTCAGCTCAGAAGGCAAGGCATGGCTGAAGGCATCAAGTCCCAGGTGCCCACAGGAGGCACTCCCTTCTGCCCCTGATGCCCCACTGACCAGTTTTTTGGCCCCTCAGCTGAGGCTTCAGGAGGGGGAAGCTCCCCTCTCCGGGCTGGAATGCAGGAGTCGGGGAAGGTCACAGGCTTCTCTGTTACCTTCCACCGTCCTTTGCAGGAAAACCTGTTTGTGTTGGGAAGCCCACATTCTGGGCACACGAATTTGGTGCCCAGATGGCGCCTGTATTGACAAAAGCCCAGCACACTGACAGGACCTGCAGACACATGGGTAAATATTTTGCCTTTCTTCTTAGGCAATATTTGAGTCTTTCAAATTTAATTGCTGTCAAAGGCAGGATGCTTGCATCCCCGAGGCAAAGCAAATAGTGAGGGCCTCCAGCGGGGCTGTTGGGAAGTTCTCCAGCCAAGCTCCCTGGCTGGCTGCCCACCGCGCCTGTCCGTCAGCTCCTTTCTCTTGTTGAGTGTCAGGTGGCCTCTTCCCTGGCTGGCCTGGTAGACTGGGGCTGAGGGAGGTTCAGGAAGCCTGGAACCTGTGGCCACTTGTTGAGTATGTTTTGAGGCTGAGAGAACCTGGTCTCAGCCAGGAAATCAGGTACATCTTTCAGATATGAGTGACAGGCACTCATCTAGCTGTTACCAGTGGGACTCCATCTTGTGTTTTCCAAGCTGGGCCCAGGGAGTATTTTGTTTGATCTTGAAATTATGGAGTGTAGGGTGGCTCCTAGTTCTCATGCCATCTTTGTGCAAATTAGATGAAGGCAGCCTCTCTGATTGAGACATCCCCTGCATACCCCACCATGGTGCAGGTCTTCGCAAGCAGAGCAGCAGCTGTACTTCAACACGCAGTTACCCCCTGAGAGGCATCCTTGTGCAGTGCACAATCTGCTCAACTGTGTATGTCCCACATGGTTGTGCATGATATTCATGTAAAAACCCTTTCTCCCTAATATCTCCCTCTCTTTCTTTTCTCTCTCTTTTTTGTACCCTGAAACCATTGACCTAGTTGTCCCTTGGATTACATTTACAAAGTGTGGTAAGAGGCTGTTCTGTGTTCATGTGACTGACGAGCCTGTCCTTACGTGGTCCAGACAGGGAAGAGGTATTTGCCATAGGCTCCCAGAGTTCTGCAACAGTCGCTTCCATTTATTAATGGCATTCTAATTTGCCTCCATTATTTTAATCCCTTGCATACAATAGAAGCAGTTGGATTCCTTACCCACTGTGATCTTATAAAGGGCACCTTGTATTATTCATCACTTTCTTCAAAGCACAGGTTCTTGGTGCTCACCCTGTGCTGGGGGCCAGGGACATAAAGATGAATGAATAAGACAAGTCCCTGCCCTCCAGAAACTAGTAATTCAGGGGAGGAGTGAGGCGTGTAAATAGATACATCACAGCCCATTGGTGTGCTGGCTGCAGCAGGACGGCCCGATCAAGGAGGGGGAGACGGAGGGGCCGTTGGATGCCTACTCCTGGGTGCTGTCCTAGATGTGAGCTGTCCTCAGCTTCCCTGAGGAGCTGGAGGTGTGTACCTGGTGAAGGAAAGGTGGGGAGGAGAGGAGGGACAGAGTTGTGAGCAGATCCAACCTCGATGGGGCAGAGTGGGGAGGGCACCTGACTGGAGCCTTGGGGCTAAATGGGGGCTGGGACTTTCTGCCAGGAGTGTGGGGTGTATCCCCTGCATGATAGACTGCATTTTCTTTCTATGGTACAGTCTGAGCGGCAGTATGAAGGGTGGCCTGACAGGAGAGATACTCCAATAAGGCGATCCTGGGTTCTGAGCCTGGCCCTGCTCCTCCCTTGGGCAAGTCACTTAATCTTTTTGAGCCTCCATTTTTTTATTTGTAAAATAGGGGTGAGGAGTATAATAGCACCTACTTAATTGGGTCATAGAGAGATTAGTAAGGCATTGTTCATAATAGAGTGTGCCACCAGTGGGACACGTGTGTAAGTGTGAGTGTTAATCGCTCAGTCGTGTCTGATTCTTAGTGACCCTATGGACTATAGGCCACCAGACTCCTCTTTCCATGGGATTCTCCAGGCAAGAATACTGAAGTGGATATCCACTTCCTTCTCCAGGGGATCTTCCTGACCCAGGGATGATGACACGTATAGAAACCACAAGTGGGTTATGGGGATGTGGCTCCCTTGGCCCATGGGGAGGCTGGACAAGGCCCGGCAGCCCACCCGGTGCCTTGCACACATCTTTTCTATGTGCTCCAAGACCTAAGTTGGAAACCACTGGTCCACTAGGCACTTGGCAAGTCTCTCCTACTTCGTAAGTCCTCAGTGTGGCTGTTGAGATTGGTCATTGTGTTCTCACAGCTATGATGGAGGGAGTGGGGACAGAAGGCAGGCAGGCTGGATTCCAGGGACATTTCTGACATAAAACGATTGGAATTCGGTGACCAGTTGGATGCCAGGGAGGAGGGGCACCATTAGAGCCCCAGAAAGCCTTGGCAATGGTTGTGGGCTTTGTGATGTAGACTGGATGGGAACTGATGCTGTCAATGGAAATTGTTATAGAAATGAGGTGTGAATGTGGGTTCTGGAAGCAGAGACCATCAGGAAGACTATTTTTTCTAGGTAGCAGGTGAGGGAAGAAGGAAGACAGAGGTGGGGGGATGTCGTGGGGGGCATGGGGGGAGCCCATGAGAGACTTCAGGATGTGTGTGGGCTAAGAGGTCAGAGGCAGAGGAGCTGAGAAATTTAAAAAAAAAAAAAAAAGAGTACCTAACACTTTCCTCAAAACTTTGCCTCTGGACAGGGTCTGTCCCATTGCAGGAGTGTCTGCCAGTAACTAACAATGGGCGATCGTCCAGACGTGATTTACAATAAGGCGCTGTCTAAATTACTGCACTCCACCTATTGCCAGGTTCCCTGCTGACAGTGAGCCAGGGGTCAGACAATTCAATCAGGTGCCACTACTTATAAATTGAAAATCAGTGGGGTGCAAAATGGATTACCATCAAAATCCATTCAGGTGCAAAACCAAAATTTAAAACCCCTAACCTTTAAAAATCACTCCTTTCCTGATTCTTCATGATGCCCTGACACTTGAGTTTTAATATCCCCCGGATAAGTAAGTGCCAATAGAAGAGCCTGCAGGAGACCAAGAACTCCTAATCTTGCTTACCTTTTGAATTTGGCCAAACTGGCGGATTTATAAACTCAGTCATTGGCAATTCTATTAGATTCTTGAAGGCGGCAGTTTTCAAACTCAAGTGTGCAACAGAATTACCCAGAGGGCCTAGTAAAATTCATATTGCAGACTCTACCTCGGGCGTTTTGATTCAGCAGGTGTGGGGTTAGGCCTGGGAAGTGGCATTTCTAGCAGATTCCCAGGGAATGCTGATGCTGTGCTCCCAGGGCTACCATTTGAGAGCCTCTGGCTCTGAAATACAGGACTCTTGATAATCTGACTAGCAAAGCTTGCGTTGATTGATAACAGCGTCTCAGAAAAAGTCCTGATTGGACCAGGCAGTTGAGTATGTCAAGGGACTTCGACTTTGTCCAAGAAATCTGAGAGGAGACTGGTTCAAGGAGGTACACATGGAACTGAGTGCTTTGTGTTTAGAGGTGAGGCTGGTGGGGGCCATGGGATAGAGAAGACGGAAGAGGCCCCTCTAGCTCACCTTTCCATAAGACAGCACGTGCTACGTGGTTAAGGCCAAAGCCTGCTTGCTGCTGTTCCATGGGTGCAGACTGTAAATGTTTTTAGATACCAAACATCCTCCCTTGACGTATAAGTTGATTTTCTTAAGGTGAAACACATGGGCACTACTTTTTTAACAAGCTGCCTCAGCTTGGACTCTTCCTATATGCATGATGCCAGAGGCGGGGGGGTGGAGTGTGTGTGTGTGTGTGTGTGTGTGTGTGTGTGTGTGTGTGCGCACGCCCAGTCATGTCTGACTGTTTGTGACCGCATGAAGTGTAGTCCACCAGGCTCCTCTGTCCATAAGATTTCCCAGGCAAGAATACTGGAGTGGGTTGCCATTTCCTTCTCCAGGGATCGAACCCAAGTCTCTTGCAAATCCTGCACTGGCAGGTGGATTCTTTACCACTAGTACCATCTAGATTGATGGTGTTTGATTTTGTTCTACTCTCTTGTTCTTTTGGAGCTGAGGTTACTACCTTGTATTTACAAAATGTCAGTGTCACCAGGCCCACCCAATATGAAACAAGTCTCTCTCCCCAGGATAGAAAAACAGATCCTGGAAATTGCCCAGACATGGTTGCTGCCTTATTAACATTTGGCCTCCTGTCTCTTTTCCAGGAGAAATTGAGCGGTGCACGTACATCAAATACCACTACTCCTCAGCCACCATCCCCAGGAACCTCACCTTCAACATCACGAAGACCATCCGCCAGGATGAGTGGCATGCTCTGCGTAAGTACCCCTGAGTCTCTTTCCTTGGCTGTGACCTTTGGAGGGCATGGAAGTTGGATGCCCATCAGCAGCTCAGTCTGGATGGACAGATGGACCTCTATCAGAGACCTGTGGACAGTCTCAGAACGTGGTGGCAATTCTTAAAGTCTGAATGTCTGTGGGTCAGAACTGCCCCAGTTGTTTTTGACTGTATTGCAGTTTTGAGGAGTTTGCTTCTACAATTGACACAAAAAACGATTAGCAGCTAGACAATGATCTGTGGTCTTGCTTTGCTACCCTGGTAGGCATTTCAGATTTCACCTACCTGACTGAACCAGCTCCTGGGATTCAAGTCTAGCTTGTCTCCAAGTTGCTTGGGGCATTATTGTGGCAACCTGCTAATCCCTCGTGTCATCCTCTGTGTGGGTTAAGACTTGCTGGTGGTTGCAGGTAGTATCGCACTACAAATTTGCAGTTGGGTGGGGCCCCTGAGAAGGAGGGCCTGGTCCTCCACTGACAAGTTTATCTCCCAGAGAATGAAAGGCTCTGGGACATAGGTTCTCCTGTGATGGCTCAGCGAAGATCAGAATATGTGCCTTCATTGGTTAAGGAAGATTTTGGTCAGGGATTCTCAGAGACTTAAATTATTAATATGATAAGATGATGACTTAATGAGCAAACAGAGTTGGTTGACTATTTTTACCTTTCTGCTCCACGGGGATCCACCTGCTTGTCTGTGTAAGGATAACTCTCCTTGTTGCAGGCATGGTTCATGAGAGCACATTCTTCCTGTAAGTAAGCTCCACGCCACCTCTGGTGCACTTATCATTTCTTCCTGATTCCAGTTTTTTTCACATAATGTCACAAGGTTAAGTTTCAGTTTCCATGTATACATGCAGGAGGCTCTTTATTGAAAACAAGGATCCTGTTGTGGGTAAGCTTTGATGAAGGCCAAACCCATCTTTCTTCTCTTTATTGTTGCCTAGTTATCTTTGGCATGCATGGAGCCCACGGGGTCCGTTCCACTTTTTGGGTTGGTTGTTGATGGGTGGGGTGAGAGACAAGTAAAATTAAACAAACAGAGGAATGATCCATTGGTTTCAGGAAAAATATTGTGACTAGGTGTCTGGATGAGTATTACTTAGAGCCACTGGCCCCAAATAATGTAGGGGCAGGTGTGAGTAAATGGGAAGGCATCAACCAAATGGTTCCCCCTACAAGCTTTATCACTGGTGGACACAAACCAGACCCCGAGGACAGAGAGCGAATGTCCAACAGGCGTCCTCGTGTGCTAGATGTTGAGCTAAGCTTCCCACATACTTAACTTTAATGTGAGGTTTGCCTTAGGGACACCAGTAAGGGTTATTAATTTCCTTTTTGGAGGTAGACATACCAGAAGCCAAGTATATAAATCCTTGACCGTGACTGCTTATTTGTCACATTGCATTGGTCTGGGATAGTCACTTAATAGACGCCTACAGTGGATGTTCAAGATACGTGGCAAGCTTGGTTGAATAACCACTTAAATATAACTGGAGGGGAAGTCATCATTGAATTGCAGAAGTTGTTGGTATTGCAGCTTCCATTCAATTCCACTCAATTCAGTCCCAGTTACCAAGTTTTTCTGTTGTACTAGGGCACATGGTGGACACCCAGGCCACAGAGAACGCTTTCAAAGAGCTCACGTCTGGAGGTGGAGGAGGGCGGGGAGGAGTGGAGAGAGATATTCTCAAAGCAAATAATTATAAGGCAATGCGCTAATTACAATATAGTGTAATTGCTTCAAGCAATTAAGATAGCTTGTGAAAGTTTTTCAGCAAGAAGGAGAGTTATTCTAGTGTAAATGGCACAGATGCACTTCATGGGAGACCTGGTAGAGCTTTTTTGGCTGTGCACACAGCAGAGAATCTGGAATTCAGATGGACGACCCATGGCGACATCACTGAAAGTGTGTTACATGGTGTTAGCAAAGATCGAGAGGAGGCTGATGCTCAGCTTTATGGACCTTCTCTGAGCCTTGTGTCTCCGGGGTTCTTGTTCTAAAACTGGAATGCCCTTAACTTCTGCAGAATCCAGTGTGAGCCTCTGCTGTGGTGAATGGGGTTGCGAACAGATCTATTTTTAACTGATAAAAGCCATCTCAGCGACTGATGCATGCAGAAGTTTAGGCACCCCATGTTGGGTGGAGTCGAGGCTCTGCTTTGGTGTGGGATTCATCTGCCTGTTTCACAAAGCGGCCTGATGGGCTGTGAAACCAGCAGAGAGCGTCTGCTGTTCCCGACATCCACGGCAGCTATTTTTATCAGAGGGCAGGTGAACATCGGTCATGTCTGAAGCTGCTGCTAAGTGTAATTGGCAGTGTTGACACAATGGGGAACCATAGACAGAAAGAAAAAAGGAAGTGCATTGTGCTCGGTCGTGTCTGGCTCTGCGACCCCATGCCTGTAGCCTGTGAGGCTCTTCTGTCTATGGAGTTTTCAAGCAAGAATACTGGAGTGGGTTACCGTTTGCTTCTCCAGAGGATCTTCCTAACCCAGGTGTCCTGTATTGCAGGTGGGCTCCTGCATGGTGGGCAGGTTCTTTACCAACTGAGCCACCAGGGGAGCCCATGGGGAAGCATAGTAAATGTCAATTTTGGTTTTCAGAGGTCAGATATTGATGACATTAGATAGGAAGCGGGCGTATAAGCCCCCTTTGAAATAAAATAGAAATGGTCAAAGATTAGCCAACCCCTATGATGGAGCTTTAGAAATTAAAAAAAGAAAATCAGACTCTGATTTCTTTGAGAGTCCTGTATTCTTTAAGATTGTTAGTGGGATCAAATAAATTCATTTAATGCTACGTTGGTTATTGTTTTATAATTTCACCATAATATCTTATATTCAATAATTTTTCTCAGTAAATGATGTTTTGTTAAAGCAAAAAATTTGATTTTTTTTATGCTGAAATAATTCTGGGCAAATATTTCAGACTTTGATGAAGCTTATGTTATATTGATTACATACATTTTCATCAAGAATTTGCATGTGAGCCTGGATGGGAGGGGAGTTTGGAGGAGGACGGATGCATGTATATGTATGGCTGAGTCCCTTCACTGTTCGTTTGAAACTATCACAGTATTATTAATCAGCTGTACCCCAATAGTGAATAAAAAGTTTAAATTTAAACAAAAGAATTTGCATGTGATCATCAAACACTCTTGTGAAATTTTTTTTTTCAAGTAAGAAAAGCACTATTTGGTTTAAAACTATGCTGTGATTTTTGAATAGTTAATTCCACCAATGAGAGGCTTAACTGTTTGACTGAGAGCTCATTCACCTTATGGTCCTGTGACTAGCAGGTGAAAGAATAAAATTAATTTATAGGTTGCTAGGTTTACAAATCCAAATGTGAGGAGATAATAACCATCACTCTGGGAGTAAAGGTCAGAGTCAGACCTGTGTGTGTGTGTGTGTGTAGGGTGGTCTCTGCAATGGAGGTTTGAATGCTGAGTTGCCTGAGTGACTTGGTGACAAGGTTCTGAACCTCTCTTAGATGGTAATTGCTGATGAAGAGTTGGATGTGCCCGTTTCTCCTTCCCACCCCGGCAAGAGCTCCCCCAGAGAAGGTAGAACTCCTTCAATAGTAGGGACTGTGCCCTCAACCCGCCCAGACCTGGCTGTCTGCTGGGAGCAGCCCACCTTATCATCCTGCCTGTCTGCCACCCTGAGTGGTGCTGGTCCCGCCTTGTTGGGCTCCGAGGGGGCACTGCACTCCTGCTGGGTCCTCTCGCCACCTCCAGGGCTGGAGCAGGACGGGCACGTGTGGCCTGGTCAGCGCGGAGAGGCCGGTGGCTGCAGGAGATGAGTGTCGGGGCAAGATTGGCAGTGTTCCGGGGACCCAGGCTGGCAGTGCAGTTTCATCTTAAACGGTGAAACTTCCTCCTCTTGCTAGAATGCATCCCTACGGACTTCACAGCTCTGAAGCTCAGGCTCAGGTTGTGTGCTGGTTTAGAGGATTCTGTGTCCCCGTGCCACCTCCAGGAGCCCCTGAGGCCATCCCCAGTGGCCATGCCTTTGTGTTCTCTGTCACTGGTGTCGCTTTGGAAGGCCCCTTCAGCACGGGGGTGGGGGGCCTGGACGCAGCCAGTAGCAGGGCAAGGATGGATGGGTGGGAAGGAGGGGTCTGGGGGGGGCCTCTGATAGGACCTGGGGAAGCCAAGGGGGGCTGAGAACGCTGGGCCTGGGGAGGGGGTGATGCTGAGATGTGGGTACTTCTGCAACGAGAAGCAGGCATGGAGTGGAGCTGTGCTTGGGGCAACGCCAGTGACCCTGAGGTGGGGGGCGGTGGCGGGGGGCCTGCCTGAGGGCTGCGGAGCAGGGACCGCTGGAGGGTGTGGGGAGGACAGCCCTTGCTCCCCCTGGCCCCCCACTCTGCTTGTCAGGGATTCTGGGCAGCTGCCGCTGAGGCTCCCCCGGGGGTTTGAGCCCCGAGACTCTGGAGCCCTGTTTCTGTGAGCTCAGATCCTCTCATTCGGCTTGGCGTTTTCAAGATGGAGGTTTCGGCTCATAGTTGATTGCCCCTGGCAGTGGGAAATCAGGGAGCTGGGGCTCCATGTTCCTGCAATCAGATCCTCTCCATTATCTTTCAAGAGGCCGAGAGCCGAAAAAGCGTGAGTTTTTTTTTTTTTTTAACCTTCTTCTATCAAGACTATCAAGGAAGTTCAGCTAATTAAATTGGATGGTCACACAGCACATTTCCAGCTGGCCAGGGAGGGAAGGAAGGAGAGAGGATCTCCGCCCCCTGACATCCTTCCTCACCCCTTGCTGTCATCCTGAGGGCTCACCACCACCACCACCACCCCGCTCGCCATCCCCCAGTGACACAAACACACACTCACATGGTAGCCTTGCAAAGTCGAATCAGAAGCAATATGTATGTAGTTCAAGAGGGAGGGGAAGAGGAGGGAAAAGGTATTGGGGGAGGGAGGGAGACAGACAGAGATGAAGTCTTCGTGGAGGAACAAAGACATTTCAGTGAAC